AAATTAATCGATTACTATTAAATTAATTTTATTTGATTTTCACGTCTAAAATTTTCCAAAATACTATTTTTATTTTTATGGAAAATGGCGGTTGGATGAAAAAGTCAAATTCAAATTAAAAAAAATTGTTATTTTGAAAAAGATATTTTGTAAACCTTAATTCATAAAAATATGGTCAATGAAAACTTTAAATACAACGGGTAAATATGGTCAATGATATCATAAATTATATTTTATATTCGATAAGCTCAACTTAATTGATGATTTTGTTTGTTAATATTTGCTTAACTACATAATATTTTAAAGTTTATAAAGAATCTCATTTTATGTAGGTTCTTGGTACTTTTTTATTTGTACATATTCATTTTTCATCCCATATCCAAATACAAATTTAAATGCGGATCTTACATGTTTATTAGAAATATATGTATATTTTTTCAAAAAGTATGACGATCATATAATTAATTTTATCATATATCATATGTTGGATGTTATTAGTTTGGTTGGGGACACTCATTATATTCAAATAAATAATATATGATTTTCATATTTGGTATTTCTTTTTTTATAATAATAAGATGTTAAATATAAATAACTATGTTTAATATAAAGTCTTAGAAAAGGTTTTAAGTAAACACCCCTCCGTGCAGCGCACGGGATACACACTAGTCTGGATATATGCCTGGAAGATCAAAGATTCAGTTTCCAAGTAAAGATGAGATCTCATTTTTGGAAAGACATCTGAACCATACCTTGTATAGTTTTTGTATATAGTGTGATTTCTCTCTTATAAAAATGTAGAGATCTGGATTTGTGAGGATTGGAAAACAGTGAGCGTATTGAGAAATTTTTCAGTATATTATTCATTTTAATGGTCACTTATGAAATTAGATCACTCTAATTTGTGGCACATCTATTGTGATTTTTAAGAAGTGCTAACATACTAAATTATTACATACTAAAAAAGTAGCAATAATTCAACCAACTGCTAACATATGTTAAATTATTACATACTAAAAAAGCATGACCATGAGAGAAACATAAGCCTGCCACCACCATAGTTGCCACCGTACCAGATTTTGGCTCCTGAAATTAGAAGATATTGTCTTAATTATAAGGATTAAATATCTTATTATTTGCTAATTGGGCAGTGTGATGAAGGTTAGATTTGAATAAGCAATATATTCAAATTGACACTTCCCATATCAAAAAT